CTCTGCCATTTCCAAGTTTCCTGTTACTGTTTCTCCCTCCTCACTGACCAGTGGGCCTACCCCATCCTTGGTCTTCCTCTTGCTTCTAATGTATTTATAAAAAGTCTTCTTGTTTCCCTTTATTCCCGTAGCTAGTTTGAGCTCATTTTGTGCCTTTGCCTTTCTAATCTTGCCCCTGCATTCCTGTGTTGTTTGCCTACATTCATTCTTTGTAATTTGTCCTACTTTCCATTTTTTATAGGACTCCTTTTTTATTTTTAGATCATGTAAGATCTCATAGTTAAAACAAGGCGGTCTTTTGCCATATTTTCTATCTTTCCGGCGCAGCGGAATAGCTTGCTTTTGGGCCCTTAACAATGTCCCTTTGAAAAACTGCCAACTCTCCTCAGTTTTTCCTCAGTCTCGATTCCCATGGGACCTTATCTATCAGCTCTCTGAGCTTACCAAAATCCGCCTTCCTGAAATCCATTGTCTCTATTTTGCTGTTTTTCCCTTCTATCCTTCCTTAGAATTGTGAACTCTATGATTTCATGATCACTTTCACCCAAGCTGCCTTCCACTTTCAAATTCTCAACCAGTTCCTACCTATTTGTTAGGATCAAATCTAGAACAACTTCCCCTCCCCCCCCCGGTAGCTTTTTCAACCTTCTGAAATAAAAAGTAGTCTCCAATGCAGTCCAAGAATTTGTTGGATAGTCTGTGTTATTTTCCCAACATATATCTGGATAGCTGAAGTCCCCCATCACCACCAAATCTTGGGCTTTGGATGATATTGTTAGTTGTTTAAAAAAAGCCTCATCCACTTCTTCCACCTGGGTAGGTGGCCTGTAGTAGACTCCTAACATGACATCACCCTATAGTTGAAGTCCCCCATCACCACCAAATCTTGGGCTTTGGATGATTTTGTTAGTTGTTTAAAAAAAGCCTCATCCACTTCTTCCACCTGGGTAGGTGGCCTGTTGTAGACTCCTAGCATAACATCACCTTTGTTTTTAACCCCTTTTAGCCTAACCCAGAGACTCTCAACACTTATGTCTCCTATGTGCATCTCTACCTCACTCAAAGTGCGTTCATTTTTAATATATAAGGCAACAACTCCTCCCTTTTTTCCTTGTCTATCCTTTCTGAGCAAGCTGTACTCTTCTATACAGACATTCCAATCATGTGTATTATCCCACCAAGTTTCTCTGACGCCAACAATGTCATAATTGTACTTACTTATTAGCACTTCCATTTCTTCCTGCTTATTACCCATACTTCATTTGTATATAGGCATGTAAGATACCGATTTGACCTTGCCTCCCAGTTTTGCCCTGACCCTCCTTTATCTCTGCTATTATAGCCCATGCTCCCTCCCATTTCCGACCCATCTCCCAGGTCTCCATGTTCTCCACTTACCTGTGGGCTTTGCTCACCTGTCCCCGTTGAACCTAGTTTAAAGCCCTCCTCACTACCCTAAAGCTGTTCCCATGTTCTCACTACTGCTGGCTACTGCTGTCCGAACTTTCACTTCATAGATCTGCAACAAAAGTGGATCTCAGTTTCTGAAACCTATCCCTCAGTATTAGCCATCTAATCATTACTTGAGAGAGTAATGTAACTGTTCTCTTCTACTTCTATTTTGATTGATTCTGCTATCCCTATATTAAATCTCTCTTATGTAGCCACAGGTGTAGGGAGGGGGTCAGAAGCTGAGGCTGCATTGTGGTGTGTGTGTGTGGTTTTTTTTTTTGTTTTTTTGTTTTTTTTGTAAGCATGTAAATGGCAGTTCTTACTGAAGAGTTTTGCATAGTTACAAAGATTTGTGTAAAAGCCTGTGCTTTGATCGACTCAATGGGTGCATTTTTTTTTGTAAGCATGTGAATGGCAGTTCTTACTGCAGAGTTTTGCATAGTTACAAAGATTTGTGTAAAAGCCTGTGCTTTGATCGACTCAATGGTTTGATTAGAGTACCTGGATTTGTATAGCAACTACTTAATCTAATACTCTGATGGATGAAATACTTATTTTTCCATAAACGTATTTTTGCACGAAACTTCTTAGTTCATTAGTCTACCATTTAGACTGTGAGATGTAATGGAAGCTTGATACAAGCCCAAGATTTACTAGTAACTTGTATAAAGTACAGCAGATTTCTACCATGTTGGCAAAGTGCTTAGAACATATCAAGCTCCATACAAGTGTAAAATTGTCATTACCTTGACCTTTTAACTGAGATGTGCAACTTGGAGATACTGTTAAGTCCCAGAAAGCAGTTCTGCCATGCCTCTGATGAAGGTGGATAATTACATTTGGGGCCTGTACACCTTTGCTGCCTTATTTCTGTATTAATGAAATATTATGAGAGGCTCATTGCATATCTGTGGAGGGCATTTTTCCACCTCTGACACCTGTTAATTCCAGAGAAAGAGAGGGGGTGTGTGTGTGTGTGTGTGTGTGTGTGTGTCTCTTCTGCTCTTTCATAGTAAAAATATATATATTTTTTTCTCTCCCCAAGCTTGCTCCCCCAGCTGAGGAACCTGCCTTTTTTTTTTCTCTCTCCCCAAGCTTGCTCCCCCAGCTGAGGAACCTGCAGAAAAGGCAGAAGAACCAATGGAGCACTAATATTTGTGGATGACTCCATGTATTGACCTATATATAACAATATAGGAAAGTTATCCCTTAATCTTTACCCTACACCAAATGCATACTATGTTATACATTATGGGGAATTAGTCCTAAAGTATTTTCGACTATCCTTAAACTGTCAAAGAACTCATACATGGGCATCTTTTATTTTAAAGGAAAAGTGTAATCACTTTTTAAAAAAAGTACCAGAATACTATCTGTTTTGTATGGAAAGCATATTGTCTTGTCAGAGCATCTGGAATAAATTTGTTTCTTGAAACTTGCTGTATTGATATGTTTTTAAAAATCAGTTTGTCAAATTGCTTGCATTATCTTTTCATATATTTTTTTTCAAGGATCCCATCTGTGAGGGGGTTCACTCACCTCCACAGCACCCCCTGCTGTCTGTCCTAGGAATTAGCTCCTTCTGGCTGGCTGGGTGCCTTCCCTCGGGTGGTGTCTACCCTCTTTCCTCCGGGCCACAGTGTCCTCTTGGGGACACTGCCCTCCGGCAGTGCCCACATCAGTCTCTAAGCCCCCCTTCCGGGGGTGGTTGTTTCTTCAGCAGGCCATGCTTCAGGCCCTGCAGTCTGTGGGTTTGCTTGGGCAGAGGTCCCCTAGCTCTGCCTTGCCTTGCCTCCCCAGCCCTTCCCTAGCTCCAGGGAGCCTCCTACTCCCCCAGCAGCCAGGCTCTCACTGCGGCCTCAGCTGGGGCTAAACTCCAAGGCCCTGCTCCAGGCTGGGATTTGCCCTTGAAGGGCCAGTGCAGGGCAAGTGCCATGTCACACCATCACAGCAGTGTCTAGGTATCAATAGATATCTAAAAATTTACTACACTAGCTACTTAAATAACAGCTGATCAATGGGTTTTCATTATTTATTTTAAAACTAGCTGGAGTTACCTGGCATTGCTCGGGAAACTGGAGCAACAAAACGTAGAAAAACAGCAGTCCATTACCTTTTTTTGAATGGTAGAAAAGTTGCACTGATTTCTATAGAGATTACAATATAGGTCTACATCATCCCTGGCGAGGGTGGGAGGGGGGTGCGACCCTGGGTGGAGGAGAGGTTACATGCTGGAGGGGCGCGGGCACGGGACCTAGGGTGGTCCCTGCAATTCAGCATGGTGGGTTACTTTTTGATTTTTACAGCTTAAGCTCAGACCAGATCGGGTCCAAAAGTACTTTAAGAACTTCTCCTGGATGAAAGGTTATCCCGTGCAAAGTTTGGTTGCAGTAGCTCTTACAGTATCCAAGTTATTAGTGCACAAACTTACAAACATTCTCCTTTATATATTAGATACATTTAGTGCTCTTGAAAAATACTGATGTGACAAATGGAAAACGAAGGTCTGTTTGTCTTCAGAAGGGATCCAGAACCACTAGGCTACTTCTAGACTGGCATGATTTTCCGGAAATGCTTTTAACAGAAAAGTTTTCCATTAAAAGCATTTTCGGAAAAGAGCATCTAGATTGGCACTGACGCTTTTCCGCAAAACATTTAGTGCTTTTGAAAAATACTGATGTGACAAATGGAAAACGAAAGTCTGTTTGTCTTCAGAAGGGATCCAGAACCACTAGGCTACTTCTAGACTGGCATGATTTTCCGGAACTGCTTTTAACAGAAAAGTTTTCCATTAAAAGCATTTTCGGAAAAGAGCATCTAGATTGGCACTGACGCTTTTCCGCAAAAGCACTTTTTGCAGAAAATCGGCTGTGGCCAATCTAGATGCGCTTTTCCGCAAAAAAGCCCCAATCACCATTTTCACGATCGGGGCTTTTTTGCACAAAACAAATCTCAGCTGTCTACACTGGCCTTTTTGCGCAAAAGGACTTTTGCCCGAATGGGAGCAGCATAGTATTTCCGCAAAAAGCACTGATTTCTTACAGTAGGAAGTCAGTGCTTTTGCGGAAATTCAAGCGGCCAGTGTAGACAGCTGGCAAGTTTTTCCGGAAAACTGGCCAGTCTAGACACAGCCATAGAGTACAGCACAAGGTTCCCTGCAGCTTTTCAATATCTAACCCTTGACCTGGAAGCCTAGTAATGAAGTTTGTTCACTTCTCTGTGCCTAGTCAGTTCTTGGTATTTCTGGTGAGGCCTCCACTCAGTGATCTCCACTTTTACTGATGGTGGTTTTAATGATGTTGGATCCCTGCTTATTTAGAAATGGATTGAATAAATTCATTTCACGAGAGCCACTAAAACAGTTATCAGGTAGGTACGGGTTTTCAGAGCACTAAGGTCTAAAATGAACTGATAAAGGAAACTTATGTAATAGGCCACATTTTATACTGAATAAATGGTGAGCTTGGGGATTGGGACGACACCCATCACCAAGCCCCCTAAGTTGTTGTGTCCATGTTGTGACTTAACCGTGTGGCTTTAGTGTCATGTGCCAAACTGAGACCCATAATCCGTATTTAGCCACAGTTTGGGTTATATTGAATACCATAGAATTAAAATAAAATAATACTTTCCATGACACAGTGTTATAGATCCACTTCTCTAGAGTTCTCATCGAGGTTCCATAAACCATATCAACATTAAGCATTTTATTTGATTAAATAATATACATTTGATAAAGCAACATGAAAACAATTTGCAATTCTAACATTGGGCTGCAATAGAGATATCTGTAAAGAGACTGCTGCCACTAGCATAGCTATAGATTCTGATATGCCAACTTGAGCTAGTGTGCTAAATGCAAAATGTATATGAAACTCAGTGGTGCTCTATCAATGTGATTAACCAGAGGGGGTGAACCTAAGTCCCAGGGACTGGATGCAGCCTTTAGCTTGCCTGGATCCGGCCCCCGTGGCTCGGAGCTTCCCCCACCCAGCAATGGGGAGCCTGCGCTTGTGCTTCAGTAGTCCCACGGTGGGGCTTGAGCACACAAAATCTACTAGCCTAGGCTCCCCTAGGCTCTGGTGTGCAAAGACAATGTGGGGAGTGCTTTTCTCCTCAGTTGGGATCCATGTCAGTGAGGGGTTGGTTTTTCTTTTTTGCTTTTCATTTGTTTTCAGCCCGACTGATTTTTCTGTGGATCAGTGGCCTCCGACCCAAAAAAGTATCCCTACCCCTGTGATTAAACTCAGCATTAGTTTTTCATTTCCACAGTGTTTTACATTCTTACCTTTTCTATTAGATTTGTTTTGTTGTTAGATATTTGTAAGATATGAATGGAGGTGGGGGCTCATTCATTGTCTTAAATGTCAGGTTAAAATATATTCTTTATTTTCTTGTGTAAGTTACTGACAAGTAATCATAGAATCTAGGACTGGAAGGGACCTTGAGAGGTCATCAAGTCCAGTCCGCTGCCCCCATGGCAGGACCAAATACTGTCTAAACCATCCCTGATAGACATTTATCTAACCTACTCTTAAATATCTCAAGAGATGGGGATTCCACAACCTCCCTAGGCAATTTATTCCAGTTTAACTACCCTGACAGTTAGGAACTTTTCCCTAATGTCCAATCTAAACCTCCCTTGCTGTAATTTAAGACCATTGCTTCTTGTTCTATCCTTAGAGGCCAAGATGAACAAGTTTTATCCCTCCTCCTCCTCATGACACCCTTTTAGATATCTGAAAACAGCTATCATGTCCCCCCTCAATATTCTCTTTCTTAAACTAAACAAACCCAATTCTTTCAGTCTTCCTTCATGGGTCATGTTCTCTAGACCTTTAACCATTCTTGTTGCTCTTCTCTGGACCCTCTCCATTTTCTCCACATCTTTCTTGAAATGCGGTGCCCAGAACTGGACACAATACTCCAACTGAGGCCTAACCAGTGCAGAGTAGAGCGGAAGAATGACTTCTCGTGTTTTGCTCACAACACACCTGTTAATGCATCCCAGAATCATGTTTGCTTTTTTTTTTTTTTTTTTTTTTTTTTTTTTTTTTTTTGCAACAGCATCACACTGCTGACTCATATTCAGCTTGTGGTCCACTATAACCCCTAGATCCCTTTCTGCTGTACTCCTTTCTAGACAGACAATATTGATTATTTGCACTTTCTGGCTCTTATGTACTTAAACACAATATCATGATAGATTTCAATCACTATATGGGAGTGTTTAAATACTTATCAACTAAAGAAAACATTTTTATTTAAAAAGTGTTCTACTCTAATCCGTTATCTAAGTCATTAATGAAAATATTGAAAACTCAGACTTAGAACTAACCCTGACTACATATGCCCTCCAAGTTTGACAGCAAACTATTTATATTTTGAGTAAGGTTTTTCAACTAGTTGAGCACCCACTTGCATAGAAAATTCATCTGGATTGCATTTCCCTAATTTGCCTGTAAGAATGCCATGTGGCACTGCACCAAATGCCTTACCGTATTTTCCGGCGTATAAGGCTACTGGGCGTATAAGACGACCCCCTAATTTTTTAGTTAAAAGATAGGTTTTCGTCTTATACCCCAGCGCCCCTCCGCCTCCCCGGCTTTGCTCCCGGTGTCCCTGGTCTGCTGGAGACGGTCCCCAGCAGACCAGAGG